AGTAACTATAACTGACTTTCCTTGTGCAGGCAAGCGTCGCGGAGAAGAATTGGACCCAATCCTTTTGGGGTGCCAACTACGCCAGGCTGTCAGTGATCAAGTCGAAATATGATCCGAACATGGTGTTCTGGCAAACTCCTGGGATAAATGCTCACTACATGCAGTCCATCGATGGACGAGCATGCTTAGTTCTCCCCCCACCTTTGACGCCATCTGAATTTCCCCCTCCGAGTGATCGAGTTGTTCCTGCAGATCCTGTAGCAGACGCGCAGTTCCTCTTTGGCTCGTTGGAGTTGATTGGTGTCAACTACCCGGCTCCAGGTACCCAAATTGGCTTGCAAACTGAGTCATCCTAATGTGGCGCCGAAGATAGGCAGGCTGTTTGGCCAATGATGGGTTCCTGAAAGAGGGACATGGGGTTGGCTTCTCGCCGCCAGAGGTCACTCGCTTCGTTTCGTAAAGTTCGGTGTTTGGATAGAGGCGGATTGGAGACATTAGTTGATGATCATTAAGGATTGAGTAAGTAGGATTTTAGAGCAGCAACTCGTTCTTCTTCACGTATCGACCAAGTTCAAAGTGGTGTGGAAATCCAAAACTCGCCGTTCGCCGTCGACATAATGCACTGATAAAAGCTTCACAGCGACTAGATGCCTATTCTATGCTACCTAAGCATCACGTTGCTTTCTAGTCGTCCCACCAGAGTGCTTCGAGGCACCCGTTGCCACATCCTTCCTCCCTAGCTGCTGGATGAACACTGTGCCAAGACTGAAACCTCTTGGGCATCGGATCATGATATTCCGCCGACACGGCTGTGTTCAGTCGCGAGGCACATCATCTCCCCCTTGGTTGAGTCATCTGTGCCCCAGAAGTTAGGGGAGGGAACGTGTTAGCTCAGCAAACGTACAGCAGCAACGAGAAGGAACACTTCAAGCACGGAGGTGAACCTCTCTAGTGCACAAATACGTAGACGACAATCTTACCGATCTCGCTTCGCACTGTTATGCATGTCATAGAACACTCACCTAGCTTTATATGTCCGAATTCTGGAGAAATAAGACAATGACCTGGCTGCATAGCCCGGGCTCTGGAGTTGACGAAACCTATGGCCTTAGATAACGGCAGACTGCCAATGCAGTAGAATATCGCTATATACAGAACCACCTACAGACGGGATGAGTAGTAGTGATATAATACTTACCCGTATTACAACTGATCAAATACACCCTTGCCCTTTACGTATGTACTCTTGAGCTTGAAAATATGTCAACTACCTATTTACAGAGAATGTATTAAGCTACAGAACATTTACGAAGAAGACGGAACCACACTTGACAAGCCCGAGCTTTTCATGAATACTGATTTGCTCGAAGCTCATAGCCTAGAAAGCCGCTTCGCTTCAGAACAGCTACTCATGGGTTCAAAGTATAAGTGATGTTGTTCCCAGGAACCCTCGGGTAAAACTCAAAAGTAAACGTTGTCGCCTTCCCAGCGGAAATAACGGCCTGAACCGTAGCAGAAGGTAGGATGATGTTGCCGCCGTCAAAGTTCCACTGCCCGTTGAAAGTCTATTATCAATGTCAGTACGTGCTCTTCTACAGCCGACCCAAAGGAACCATGGTTTCCAGGATCCGTTTGGAAAGGATGACTTACAATATGAGCCTGCTGCAACGGTCCAAGATACTGCGTCCAGTCATCAAACAAGTAAACCCCATCACTCCGCAAAGCCTTGACAGCAGCAACCGTCTTGAGTCCCTTGTAGGTGACGGGGATCTTCAAGTCGGCTCCCGCAACGGCCGTGGAGCTCGTCGCACTCGCCACCGGGACATCCCACTGCACAATTTCGACCTGCGACGTCGCTCCCGCGGAGAACGCCAAGGTCAGGTTCGCCTTGCTCCCTGGCGCAGCAGTGGCACTCAAATACTTTGACAAAAAGGCGGCCTTGAAGGTTATTGAGGATGCCGATGCGGTGTAATCCGTATTCGCGGCCAACGTGGTTCCAGTGTTGGTCTTCACCGATTGCAACGTGTTGCCGTTGAACAACCAGGGGAGAGTCGGATCCGCCGGCGCAGTGCCAACCTTGTTCCAGATGTATGCGGATGATGACTGCGTCGTGGCTGATGCATCTGTAGTGCTATCCGGCAAGGAATTCTTCACCCCCTTGACGGCGGTATTCAGAATGGCGAGCGAAGTCGGGTCTCGCCAGGCATGGGCACTGCGATCAAGGTGATCCAACCCATTATCCCAAATCACAACAGCAGTATTCAACTCCGCCGCCGTCCTCACAAACTGATCCGTCCACTTCCACCTTGCAGCAGGCTCAGTATTCAGCGGACTCGCGTCAAACTCCCCAATCACCAGCGGCACATCCGAGAAATTCCCCCTCACAATCGCCATCTCGTTTCTCATGGCAGCCTCATCCGCGTCCGAGCCCCAAATCGTCTTGCCCCACGCGGAGAAAATGAAGTCGTACGGGCTGTAGACGTGGTAATGCAGCACCCATGGGTTCTTGATGCTCGCGGGCGCCTTGAACCACTGCGTCGTCTTGGTGGCGTCCATGCCGCCGCCGACGAGGTTGACGACGCGGCGCGTGTTGAAGCCGCCGCTGTCGGCGAGGGCTTTGAGGAAGAGGTCGTTGAGGGTGTTTATGCGGGCGCCGTGGTCGGCTGTTGTGGCGGGGGGTTCGTTGATGGATTCGAAAGAGACGAGGTTGGGCTTGCAGGCGAGCTTGCGGCCGATTTGGAGCCAGAGATTGTAGAATTTGTCATTCAGGGCTTGAATGTCTGCATCTGAGGTCGCTTTTGTCACGTCGGCCCAGTTCCAGGAGTCTATTCATGGCGCGTCAGTTTGTTGATAGATGGATAGAAATGGGTGTTCTTACCGTGATGGACGTTTGTGAGAACGTAAAGGCCTCGGGCAGTGGCCATGTCAACTACATCCGAAACACGTTGCAACCATGCCGCGTCAACGGTGTAGTTGGGCGCTGCGCTGGTGAAGTGATCATTGTAGGTGACTGCCGTACCGTCAATATCGATGGTGACACATATTAGATATGGATATAGACTCACCCGGGATACGAACGCTCTTGAAACCGGCAGCCTTAACATCATCGAACGTCTGTTCGACAACAGGTGGGTTGTTCCAAGATCCCTCGTTAGGGATAGCATCAAGAGTGTTGCCCAGGTTCCACCCCGGGGTCATAGCCTTGACATAATCCGCCCCAGAGATGTCGCTAAAAGAACCAGAACAAGCCGTGGGCGCTGCGCTGGCAGACGAAGATCTAATAGAGCTTGTTAAATGAGATGAGCTTGTCGCGCGTGAAGTTGTCGTTGTTCCAGCAGGGGGCCTCGAAGTTGACGTAAGAAGAGTGGTTGGCGAGGAGCCAGATCCCTCGAGACACTGTGAGTACCCTGGCACTGGAATTAGATGTTGTTCATGAGGGACCTGTGCAGAGACTTACACTCGTTTGCCTTTTCACAGTGCCATCCGGCTGTACATGTCGTCGGTCCCGTCCAGCCGCTGCCACCGCATTGGCCGTACGGCGTTTGTTGGGCGGAGGTTATCTGGGCCAATGCCACTAGCACGGTGAGGCTGATGTCTGATCTCATCGCGAGAGATGAAGATATGGGGTTGTCACGCTCACAGAATTTCGAAAAATGCACCCTCAGGATTGTCTCGAGGGAGCCTGGCTAGTTTTACACGAAATGCTAGAGCACTTGCCTCGCGTTCGCATTTAAACATACAAGAAAACCACTCATCATCACGGACCGAAATTGACTTACAAGGCCAGGCCAGCTGCCAAAACACGCATCACTGCGCTTGGTGGAAAATCCCACGCGATCATGATCGCGATCTTAACGAATGCAATGAGCTGAAAGCTGCAATGGTGGCGGCGAAGAGAGCGGAAGTTGCTCCGAAACAAGAAGATGGAAGGTACGTGAGATGCAGAAAGGGCCCGTTTCCAGCATATGGGAGAAGACCATTCTCTTTTGAGGGCGGAGTGTCGCTCTCAGAGTGCCCGAAGAGGAAATATCACGACACCAAGGAGGGTTGTATCACGTAGACTACCGCTGGCCGAAAGAGGCAACTTTGCTTGCTTGCCTCCGTTCCCCGACTTACCCCTCAATCAGAGGCCAGGGGCAGGGCTACGCAGATGGCAGTCGCCGGTTGGAGTCAATTTACGCTTGTTTCGAAGCGGGCGGGTATTGAGATGCTTAATTGGTTTGACGTGTTCAACCCTTGACCGTTGTCGCCTACTTACTTGATTCACAATATGGGGTCGGAGAGATTGAAGGGGCCCCGGATCTGGAAAGCTTGTTTCCTTTCTTCGGATCATCATGCTATTCGCTACTACGTATCTCCAAAAGGTAACTATTCGCCTAGGAGGGGAGGGGATATCTGCGAGCTGCTCGGTTTCTTCCGAGTCATGGAGTGCAGTTCGTCAACATCAGACGAATGCGCTCTGCGGGTCATGTTTTGTACACGGCTCCCGGCACGCTGATCGACCCGACTTGCCGGCCCCGCACCGAAAGCGCCGAGCCGTTGTGATCTGAGCACACAGCGGGCAGCTGTTCTCCTACCCTTTCTTCGGCCCTCATGAGCTGGCGCGATGGATACCTTATAGTCTGCCAACCTCAAGCCATCATGTTGACCCACGTCTTTGGGTAGGATCTGACGGCGCCTCGCGGGCTCGGCGTGATGCTCTCCCAGTAATCCCAAAAGATGGGTGTCCCAATATCGCTGGCAATCCTAAGGCCAGTGTATCGTAATAGGTGGTTGCTGAGTAGAGTTCCGGGCCGCCTCTATGGCCCAACTAATGAAACGCATAGGCATCGCTGTATCCTTCGCTTCGGAGACTTCGTCTGGGAGCTTTTTGATAACGTGATGCCGGCACTAATTTGGCCTGAACGCGGACGCCAAACCAGACCAGACTACAGTATGCACTTCTGTCTCGGAAGATATTTCCAACTCGCGGCAGTGTATGCTCTCTGAAATGGATTCATTCATCGCTTCGGCGGCCCTGGCGGGGGCGGATTCGTCGTTCCCCGGAACTGATTTTTCAGCTCCTCGATAAAATATTGCAAGAAGCCTCGGTCTTCAGGATTCGCTATAACTCAGCACGTCAGCTACCCTCTCTTCAACCAAGTCCCAGCGTGACTCTCAAGTTCGAACGTACCAGTCGCCTGTCCTTGGCGCAGCGGCTCATGCGGCATAGGCCCATTCCGCTTCTCGTCGACGTATCGGTGGATTCGACCGACGCCGCGGTGGAAGCCAGGACTTCGAAGGATCTGTAGATTGACATTCGAGGTTAGCTTGCTGCGTAGGGCCGGGAGGATGCAGGGAGTCGCATACTTGGCGGATAATCACATCCTCGAAGGCCACGAGGGCGCGGATTAGCAAGTTCAAAGGCGGAGCCATATTCAACGCGAGATTCAATACGAGAGGCTCATGGACGAGGTTGCGAGAGGGACTCGCTCTTTGTGCGACAGATGGCCGATTGATAATCCTCGTGGAGCTTTGAAGCTTTCCCGGTGGTCAGGAAAGGGTGGCGACCGGACCATCGGCAAAATAAAGTGGAGATCTCAAAAGATTAGTCATCGACATGGAAGCATCATGCATTTGGCCGCTCATTGGTCGAAGCGCGTCTGCGTTTTCCTGCTGGAGTACGTACCTTCATGGAAATATTCATAACATTTTCGCAAACCTCCCGCCGCGAGCATACTCAGGCAGCACAATTGCGAGAAAAGGCATGAGCAGCGTTCGAAGTGTCCATGACCTAGTGGCGGAATGGTAAAGCGTGATTGGTCCCGAAAGGGTTGCGAGTTCGAGTACAAGTGTACCCACAAAGATTGGTGGTCCTACATAATGCCACAGACAGTTCATCTTTGTTTCTTTCGAATCACGATCTAGTTCTCTTGCTGTCATTAACTATGACGCAAAGAAAATTTGATTCGATGGAGCCTCACGATGCAAATCGTTTGGTGGATGTGGCTTTTACGATTTAACCACACTTAATATGCAAGGGCAGATATCGTATGGTATTGAATTCTACGGAGCAACATTGATATTCTATTTTGCCATCCGCATTGTCCTTGGTATATGAGACTGTTCCCACATTCAAAGGACTGAAGTTCTTGACGGTTGCATAGACTTCGTGTCTTGAACACATGTAAACCACATCGATGCTTCCGGGGCAACTCGAGTCTATTTGGCGGTATTAGTGCGCCAACCTCTTGAGGAGGATATCAGTAGCCATGCATATCCTGCAAAACCCCTAGACCTTTGGTTTGCTGTGATATAGCTACGCAGTGTTCAAGTCGGTAGAGTGAGCTTGTAACGCGGTCCACGGACGCGTGAGTTAATGGGTATAAGATGTCATTGGGTAGGTAATCACCACAACATGCCGTGACTGATGGTCTGGCGATAGCCTGGTTTTTTCAGCCAAACGTTGTGCCATCAATGCATCTGAGGCGTGGGGAATCCTGAATCTTGGTGTGGTAGAAGGAATCATTCGAATCGGTACGTGGAGAGGAATCTTCAACCAGCAAATTGATCCCACTCACCCCAGTTGAGGGGCAGCCCTATATCGAGGTTAGCCTCCAAAGCGTTATCGACTGCCGATAGGTTGAAGCTCGGATCGAAGTGGCCAAAGACATCTAGATGCGGCATCGCATCGACAATCGAAAAGTCAATCGCTTCCAGCGCCGGGAGCTCGGCGGTTGACGTAGGAGCTAAGGGAGCCGATGGCGGCTCGGCCGGTGCCCCGTCAACCACCAAAGGCTCGTCAATTTTACCATTCACAGGTACGTCGACAACAGCAGCAGCCGATGGCAAAGCCGCACCCCCTTCTTGAGCAATGGAGTTTGCGGCTCGCTCCATTTCTCGCAGGATACGCTCGCCCAGTCCCGCGACGACTCGTGCGCTCCAAAAGACGTCGCCGAACCGCTTCATGAGCTCCGAGTTGGACTTGAATGCGCTGCGGGCGCGGGCGCGGAACATGGGGAGGGCACTGTGTCGCATTTTGCGGTACTCGACGCTGAGGGCTAGAGAGAGGGCATATGGGACGAGAGGGACCGGGCTGAGGTGATCGCGGCGGATGGCGGAGGATATTCGCTCGGCTGCGAGAGAGCGTCGTGCGTTTGCTGAGGGCGGTGGTACTGATGATGCGTATTGTGCTGGGGGTCCTGGTCTGGATAAGCGGCATGAGAGGATGATTACGGCGTGGTAGAAGACCTCTATTGTGGCTTTTGAGGGTTAGTATCGCATACTGACATGGGGTGAGAGAAGAGCTTCTTGAACATACCAAGAAGCGGCGTGGGAACCTGCAACGCATTGGCTTCGAGGATCATAGGCTCGAGGACTGGTAAATCGATAAAGGGCTTTGCTTCCAGCGACTGAGCAATAACACCCGGACGATAGAGCTCAATCACCTTATCCAGCCACTGCACGACCGATAGGAAAAGTTGGAAGCAGGGCGCTTGTCTGCGGAAACAGTCGTCTAGCCCGGGACCGATGTCACCCTCGTGCAGGACGCAAGGTCTTCCGTAGGTCGCCGCGTTGATACGATCTAGTGCCCAAACAGCGCAGAAAAGGGTATCAAGAGAGTCGTTGCTGGAGTGAAAGAGGTGCAGCCCGAGGGTCTGCGAATGGTGCGCGGCCCTGGCGCCAAGTTGAGCAGGCAAATCTGCTTCATCAGCACCTGAAGGCTGGGCATACAGTGATAGCATGCACAAGGCACGTATGTGTATCGTCCGGTCCGAGATCAAGCTCGTATCCAGGATGGCCCGGATAGAGCTAGACAACGTCTGGGAGAAGTCTTGGTACGAGAGCCTCTTGTTTCCTTGCGTAGCGAGGCGCAGATGGCTTTTCATGTCAGGGTCAGTGGCAGCGGCGAGGCATACCACTTGTCGCATGACAATAGCTGCTGGGGAATCGCCATCATCCAAAGCCTCGTCTGGGATAAGGCCGAAAATAGGATGGATTTTGTCTCGGTACACCTTGTGGAGATGTTTGTAGTCCTTCTCCGGCGGGACACAGGTGAGACAATTCTGCTTCACATAAGGCAGCAAGACCTTGTCGATAATAGCCGACGGACGCGAGACAACGGAGGTGGTCGACTGTGCCGAAGCGGCGTTGAGTGACGGAAGCCAGACACCCACCTCGGCCTTCTGCGTAGGGTTAGCGGCCGGATCTGAGTCGGCGGCCTCGGCGAACATGCCCTCCGGGTTAAGATCGCCAACGAAGCGCGTCTGTGGAGTCTGCGCTGGCTCCGAATGGCCCGCCGTGGCAGATTCACGGCGAACAGGGGTCGTGGACAGCACGGCATCAGCGGTCACGGACGCCGAGTGACGATGTTTGCTTGGCGAACCAGTGCCGGCGATGACATGTTGTCTGGGAAGAAAGGGTTCAGTCAGCCAAAGGTGATCATCAAAGTTGCCTGATTAGGAAACCAACCCAGCGTTGTCCGGCGGCGAAGAACCCGCACACCCGTCATGGGCCGGCTCCAACGGCGGAGGTTCCCCGTGGATGCAGCGTTTCTATAATTGTCATGTAAGAAGAAATGCGTCTTAGTCGAGTGGAATCGTTTTTGGTTTGAGCGGACCTTCTTTCTGCGACATGATTCGCAGGCCTGCAGAACCTGCTTCCGCTTCAAGGGAAGCCCCGAAGAGTCGGAGCCGACAAATTTGACGCCTTTAGCGGGGTTGCTCATCGTCCCGACGCAATGGTGACTCCGAACGGAACAAGAGATGGAGAGGTGTTAAGCGAGCGAAGCATCATCACCGCAGATCGCCGTCACGAGGGGGGAATCAAAAGTGAGTTGTAACGCGCGAGATGAGAGACGGTGAAGGACGGGTGATTTGGTGTAAGGCGGCGGAAGCAGTTGACGCAGCTAAAGTGACTGGACTCCATGGTGTGGGCGGTGCGGGCGGCCGGGGGGTGACCTGCAAGGTGTGACTCGACGCGGAGCTTAGTCAGACGCGGGATTTCTCGGTGTAATCTCGGTGGAACCATCACACCTTGGCGTCACCGAGGTGAACAGTCACAATTCAACAAATGCATGGTAGGACGCCGACGCGGGAGTAACTCGCTTTGTCAAGTCATTAGGTTTTGAACTGTGAACTTTATGAAGACCAGTCCTTTGTTCAGTCTCACTCGATATTCCAGGTATAATTTGAGGGCATTGCCCGAACGCCATCGCTATGCTGAAATCAACCACTCGTCCCCGTCGTGGGATAGAACACCCGTCAATATCTCAGAAGTTAGAAAAGTAATCACTCTGCTCGGCCTCCTAGGCCGCTCTTAACACCTTCCAGTACCACCCCCCAGCCACCTCCATGATTCTTGTCCTGCACAGCTTCACTTAGCCTACCCGTCACCAGCTTTCTCACGAGGAGTGTGTCTCGCGCTCTCTTCAGCTTCTTTCCGTCTTCACGAGAAAGGAAGTCCTCGAACCAGGCCTCCTCTGCCGCATCAAAGGGCAACCCAATAAGCTCAGTTGACCTTGCGGCTGTCTCTTCGTTCGCAGGAGCGCCAATCACGTTGGAGACAAGCTGGCGGAACAGCTGTGCCCTGACAGCATCGGCGTGGGTTCTGGAAAAGTAGAGGGCTTCGGTGACGCTAGTTCTTGACATGGCGTCGAAGAGAAGCTCGAGAGCCTCGGATGTCTTGAGAATTGGCTGGACAGTGTGGAAGTATGAGAGAGGCAGGGTGTAGTCGCCGTCGGGAGCATTGCGCACAAGCGCTGTCATGATCTCATCGGCAAAGTCGGTAGTTAGGGAAGGGTGCGCAATATACTCGAGTGCTTTCTGTTGGTAGTTCGAGTAATTAGTAAGTGAAGTGTTGCCCAGTAACAATAGTTTGGTCAGAGGCGCGTACCTCGAATTGTTGATGATCCAGAAGCCAAAGACCCTTCATGAAGATCTGATAGTTCTTGGGAACACCGGACGTGACGGCGAACTTTGACGATGCCTGGGATCTAGTCTGGCTCGTGTCAAAGTCGAGCAGGATGTAGTAGAAGATCGAGAGTCGGTGGTGCGTTGACATGGTGGCTTCGCATAGTTGCTGGTGTAGTGTGCGCAGAGCATTCTCGGTTTTGGGAGGGTATGTCTTGGCTGATTTCCAACGTCAGTCATAGAGGATCTCGAGGCGACTGGGAGGAAGCATACACTTGGTGAGACCCAAGGCTTTCAGGACCCGGTCGATGAAGAGGGCGCCATCGAGGCTCTTGCGGTAGGTGTCGATTTCCTGAACGGACTTGCGATCGTAAGGGAACTGCTCCGCCCCAAAGACGTGATCGAAGTTGGTGTAGTCGAACATCTTGAGGTATGGTGGATCAGCGATGCCTCTGTAGGATACTGGAGACCACAAGCTTGCTGTCAATTTAGGCGGAGTGTTTTGGTCGTCTTTTTTTGGGTTGG